TTGGGAAATGATGGATTTCTAGTGGAATTTTTATCCCACACCGAAAAGTCCAAGGGATTTTCACCCCCTTATAAAGGGAACCCTATTTGAAAGAGTTAAGATTGTTAGGCGGAAAGGCTCTCTTCATGCGTGGAGAGGGTGCTGATCAAATCCCAAAAACGGAGAAGAAAAAACTGCGACTTGCGTGCGCGGATGACCTGCGGACACGAATGTCGTCCAAAAATCTATCTTTTAAAGATATAATCTAAATTTTGTTTCTTCCCGTAACGTTTATTTTTTTTCCAGAACCAGAACTGCTTGGACAGACAGAAGTGCTCGAGGTGTTTTGGTCGTACCAGAAGTGCTCGAGGTATTCTGGTCACACTAGAAGTGCTAGAGGTATTCTGGTCGCGGATCAGAATTGCTCGAGGTATTCTGGTCACGCACCAGAAAGGTTCTGGACCATTACAGCAATAAATGTTCAACGTTCATATGCCATTATGCAGCGTTAAATGGACAGTTCATGGACGATTCAATGCCAAACGGACTGGTCATTGATGTTCAACGTTCAGGTCCATTAACTCTCCATTAACTCAGAACAAATCCTCCATTAAATAGCTGGCAGTAGGCATGGACCGGTTTTGGGACGGGTCGGGCACCGGGCCAGTCCAAATAGGGCTTTTTTATTGGGGTTAACATCCGTTCATCTTTTTCACCGAAACCAGCCCGGGATTCTATCGGGAACGGGCCGGGCCGGGACCGGGTCGGGTAGCGTTTTTTTTTGCTTTTATAATTAATTCCTCCCCACTCCACCCACCCACCCCACCCCAACCCCCTTCAAAACACCCATCCCAACCCGCCTACCTCCCAAAGACTTTGGAAAAAAATGGCCCAGACCGTCGTGGACCGGCCGAGCCGGTTCCAAAGAACCCTGCAGCCCGAGCTCGCCCCCAAAACATCCTCGCCGGAACTTTTGTTTGTGTGCTCAAACGATAATTCGTTAGCCACCGTATCCTGGAAAACGGTCGTTGCAACGCTCCTAGCACTGTGGGAGGCGACGAATACGTTTTAAGGACATCGTGCGTAGCACGAGCTCTAGCCAATTTATGTCCCATCTATTTTTCATTTTTCTTTGACTATTTTATTTATTAATTAATTTTATTTAATTAATATTTCTTCGTTTTTCCTAATTACACCCAACAATAAGATCCGTTCATCTTCTTCATCATTCAGGGGGCATGATACGGATTATAAGAAAGAGTGTACCTTATCCGAAAATAAGGGGCTGCAAATAGAATTGCCCTTATTGTATAGCTCTACCAACAGGCATCATGGGAATCAAAATAAAGAAACAAGATCAGCTATGAATTCATTAGCTAAAACATACTTGCATACTACCAAATAGGGATGACTCGGGTCGGGTCAACCGGCCCATAACTGGCCCGGGCACGGGCTCGGTACTATTTCAGCCCGGCCCGGCCCGGTACCCGGGCATAATCCGGTTCGGGCCACCCGACCTGGAACTGTTTCGGGGCGGTTCTCAGGCCTCAAAAACAATGAACCGGCCTGGCCCGGCCCGGTTCGAGCCAAATTTTTTTGTTTTTTTTTTGTTTTTTTGTTTTTCAAAATTTGAAAAATGTAAATGGGTTGGGCTCGGTGTTTTGGACGGGTTTGGGGTGTGGGGGTGGGGGTGGGAAGTAATTTGAAAATTAAAAAAAAAAAGGTAGCCGGTTCCGGGCCTCAAGAATCTGAAGAAAAAAAAAACCCCGGTCAGGCCCGGCCCGAGTCCATGCCTACTACCAAAGAGTCGAAAACTACTAAGGGATAAAGGATTTGTAAATCTTCTCAGATGTAGATGAATCAAATAACTCATCGTACAATACATAACTCTAAGTGTTAACTATGAAATTAGGTGGACATTTTATTCCTCTACTAGTCTCCACTTATCACCCTAAGCAGGGCACGAAAGGGCAACATGACCGTTGAAAGTCTTCTTACCAAGTTTTTGATGGTTTTTTGGCCATCTAATAAGTACAGTCCACCTCTGTCCCAGATTCCATAGCCTGTCTTTTTTTTGCAAAGAAATAAATTATATTAGAATCGAAGTCGCGAATACAATATTCAAATCCCAATCTTTAACTTTTCCACTTGACCAACTAATCCAAAAGCCCATCGGCTCCCTCACGTCATGTCCAGACATAGAATAGTCCACCCGAATAAGAGCGGGACTAATCGCTGAAACGGTGAGAGCAAAGAGGCTATTAGCGGCTGAGTCAGCCTGATTGCCTCCATTCATCAAAAACCTGATCACAAGACACCTACCCCCCAAACCAGTATCCTTATTGTAAGCATAAAAAAAGAAACAACAATAGACTGAGTCTTGACAAATAAACAAGTAAAAATAAAAACAAAGTTCCAGGTGATGGAGTGTGCATGCTTCCATCCCTGCAATTTCCTCCATCGCAGCTTTTAAATGGCTATGTGGCGGGTATTGTAACCCGCCTCCTCCCCGTTTTCTGATGAGTCCATCTCTGCTTCCATGTTATTTAGTAGTGCCTCTGGTTCTCCATGATCCACACGCCTCTGCTTCTGCTCTGACTTATCTCCCATATGGACATTATCCATCCCTTGTTGCGCCTCTCCCTGCCCTCCCGAGTTTTCCATTTCTGTTCCCCCCTCTTCTTCTTTTCCTTTTCCTTTGCTAGCCGGGACCAACCATTTATCCCCCCCCCCCCCCCCCCCCCGCTGTGGCATTTCCTTTAGCCGCTCTCAGCTCAGGTCCAAGCAATAACACCCCATTTTTGCCTTTACCATCCGGGTAGCGCGGGCAGAATCTTTATGCGTGTCCAATAATCCCGCATGCAAAAAAAATGCTGGGTAATTTTTCATATCTAAATTTCACACAAAAAATTTCTCCTTCATCTTATTGGAGAAACAGCTTTCTTTTCAAGGGTTTATTCAAATCAATATTAACCCTTATCCTCATATAAGGGTTCCATGCAGCAGAGAGATTCTGTTCGTCCACCCTTATAAAATTCCCCACAAAATTCCCAATTTTTATGGCATTTTTCACAAAAAAAAATCCCATTGGCACATCATGAACTCGTACCCAGAAATCAGCTCTGTTCAGTGGTATTTGCAAAGGCAAGTCTTTAGGCTTCAACTTATCCAGAACAAGGAGGTTTTGGTCAAACGTCCATGGTCCGTCCTCCAAAACACGTGTCAAATCACTTTCAGTATAGAATTGGAACAAATATCTACGTGCTCCTATTTCAGTAATAGTAACACTCTAACAAGTTTCCACACATTAGCCATAGTATCGCGAAAAAATGAGAAACGTACTGACTTTTCGGATGTAATTGTCCCTACCAAAGTTAACCCTATTTTCTCGCATCCTGGATCTTTAGCTTCCACAAGTAGAATCTCATCTTCTTCATCCATCTCCATACTACCATATGCGTTGACAAAGCGGTCTATTTCCTCAAAATCGTTCGTGTCCGTCATCTTGGCTTGGCCTTTGTTTGTGATTCGCCTCTGAATTTAACGTTGTTGTGGTGTCGCTCATTGCACAAGTCGAGCGGTAAAAGCCGTCGATCCCAAAACTTCAAGCGAAAGGAATTGGTTTCTTCTGCTTAAGCTATGATCTCCTGTGTCGCTAGCAGATGAATCGTCGAGCGAGGATCCTTGCCGACCCCAAAACTACGCAAACTAGGTTAAAACCCTAGCTGCGGTAGACGTAGGGAGAATTTGTCACTACATACATGACTAGTTCTTCGCCATGGCTGTCTAGTTCACTGGTACTACCAAAAAGTTTCTTTTCCCTTTTAAAAAGGGGATCCCTAAAAGGAAGAGAGTGCAACAGCGTGAGGGAGATAGATAGCTTTTCCTCAACTGCACATTAAGCGTGGATATGAGATGGTTCTGATTCAAGACCAAGCGATGCCCAATCTGCCACTTTACCTACTTGGCTAGGATTACAATTTACAAGGTTTGGTTTTGTAATCTAAGCCTCTAAGGTAGGGGTGGACCGGTTCCGGTTCGGGCCCGGTTCGGGCCTGAGCCCGACCGGGACTCGATTCATGAAGGGGAGGCCCGGAACTGGCCCGGGTAACCCCCGGGTCCAGGCCGAGCCTCAGTTCTAATTTTTTTTTTTTTTGGCTTTTCCTAGTTAACCCCCAACCCTCCCTCCTCACCCCCAAACCAACCCTAACCACCTCAAATGGCCTAAAATACCCAGCCCAACCCAAAAACTTAAAAAAATTCAAAAAAAATAATAAATTGGCCCAACCCGGGCCCGAACCGGCCGATTCACCTTTTGAAGGGCCCGAGCCCGAACCGCCATCCCACCAGGCCGGGTGGCCCGAACCGGTCAACCAACCGGTTCACCGGGCCGGTCCGGGCCCGCACAATAGCGGGCCAATCCGGTTCCAAGCCGGTTGGCCCGGCCCGAGTCCACCACTACTCTAAGGCAATTCGATTCAGTTACAAAACCAAGCCCACTAGGCCACTACTAAGGGTACAAAAGGTTCCCATCACGAGACGGATTGGACGGTTGTGAAGCATGGTGGGAAAATAAGATTCCTAGGACCAAACCCAGACTAGCAGGAAAGGGGAACCGTCTCGGGATCACTTTTTAGGATTGAGAATCGCCATTCAAGTCCGGGTTCTGAATTCCAATCTCATTTGATTTATTCTTTTTGCATTATAATCATCAAAAGGCAACTTGAAAGGAGTAGAGGCCATCTAAAAGCTAAAAGGGATGAGGGACAGATTTTACAATACAGATCCCAATCTCAAGCCTCGCTAATTAGATAGAAGATCCGTGTAATTTTTTTAACAGCCGACCAAGACCGGAACCAGCCTAGTGTCCATGCCTACCCAACAGCATTACAATGGTCTGATTGTAGGCAGTTTTTGAAATAATGTCTGTCCGTCTTCCCATGTGACTCCTAGAGATTACCTTGCTGGCTACTCGGTTTATTGGTTTTGAAAAGGAACTTGAGATGATGTATATCTTTTATTGCACTTTTACCAATTATCAATTGAAAGGGAAAATGAAAAATTGATAATTCATTGTGGGCGGGAATCATTAACCTAATTCAATTTGTCATCAAGAAAACTGCATTATTATTAACCAAGCTTACAAAAACGTGAAAGAACTGAGATGCACAACAAAGAAAATATGCTTCCCTCTCCCTAAACCCACCCAACGAAGGGCAGACAGTTTTGCCTGCCAACACTCATCACATACAATCATGCTATGATGGGGGAAGAGAATAAGACGCTGTGGACATCAGTCATGTCCTGGGAGTTGGTATGTAGAGAGAGAACAAGCACCCCCTCCCTCCCCTCCCCCTCCCCCTCCCCCTCCCCTCTATGATCATCAGCTTCCCTCACTATGGATGAGAGAGATCTCGAGCCATCAACTCAGTACATAGTGATAACTTGAGAATGGGATCTAATAACAGCCTGCCTCAATCAAGGTGAAATTCAACTCTTTGCTCAAGCCTCTGTACCTCGCAAGAGAAAGGACATAAATAAAAAAATAAATAAATAAATAAATAAAACAATTTCATGCTTTGCTTCCTAGGCCTACAACAAATAAATGAAAAAAAACGAGAACTAGTAAGGTGGCATCATTTTGTATCCATTCAATCAACCCATTTCATTATACCATATGTAGCTCACCACTTACAAAACCCAATAATAATGATACCAACCTAACATCGGTGAAGGGGTGCAGGGTAGACATCCAGTGGTTGATAATGCAAGTTGTCATTATGAGGCAATGTTCCTTCCTAAAAATGACATGTATACAGAATTAGCAAAGTTGCAAATATGTATTAAACAAGTGATACGGAGTATATCATATCCTATTCTATCCTATCATAGAAGTGAGTAATATAAGCTTATGCTGTAGAACATCACCTCTTCCAAGTTTATTTGATAAGGCTTCATAAAATCTTCAAACATCACACATGATAACCCTTTCATTTTCTCTTCCGCTTTCTGGAAACCAACAGCCGATGACATTTAGATGACTTCTAAAGCAACCCTAATATATTATTCACTTACCCATTTTGTATCAGGCTTGAGGTGGTTATGCATTGCATTCCCCTTCTCATTTGCTTTAAGGTTTTCATAAAATGGAGGGAGCAAGTTCTCTCCACCAAGAGGAATACAATGCATTTAATGCACCAGTTGGAGCATGAGTAAAAATAATAATTAACAAGGCTATCGAGGTAAAGAATGCAATTCCAGGTTTGTCATCATACCAATCCTGTTATTCTTGAGTGTTCCATAAGCTCATTCACAATTACATCAAGCACATGCCGATTGGCCATCAATCCCTTCATTGCAAGTTCTTCCGTCTCTTCAATGTACTGTTTCCAAGATCCCAAACCAAAAGAAAGGAACGTAAGAAGTATTAAAAGAACACATGCATTTTTGTGAATATTAGATACACAGTTTTTGAAGGAATAGATGAGGCTTTTCTTCTTAACTACCAGCCTTCATAAATATTTGCTACCTCAAGAATGCAAAATGAGGTGAGGATAACGAATTTGTAGTACCATGCAAGGTACTTAACGTATAAGAAAAATGCCTGGATACATCAAGGTACTTGATGTATAATGAATGGATCGATTCACGTTAGGTGACCCCAAAATCTTTTGGGAATAAGGTTTGGATGTTATTGTTGTTGTATTTGTAAATCATAGGAATCACAACCAAAAAGAGAAAAAAGATAAGACAAATAAAAGGATAAAATATAAAATGGATAAGATAAAGATAAATACTATCATCCGTATCATATTAGTTGCAACATTGCAATTTATACACTATTCATATACTCTACTTTGACAACATTTTATTTATTAATGAATGTGAATTATTTTTTTCGAAAAATATTATTGAATTCATCTCATTATTAAGTGTCATAATATGATTTTTAATTATTTTTTATTAATACATAATTAAATAAAATGACGGTCAAAGTTGTGTGTTGGCAAACGTGAAAAATGGAATGTTGCAACTAAAAAAGAACGGAGGGAGTATAAGATAAAAATAATATAAGAACATAAGAAAGATAAAAGATAAAAATAACATTAGAACAAAGAGAGATAAAGAAGATAAGAGATGAAAGAAATAGCGAGAGAAAAGAGATAAGAGATCAATCGTCCACACGAATATGCACTCTGTGCCCTCCACTTTACTCTCTCCAAAGTCACTCTCATACAACCCAAGAAGAAGCATATTGATTCTGATTCCTCTAATTCAAGTCTATTTGGGTCTTCTTCCCCTTCTTCTCTCTCTTCTCCCACCTTTCATCTCATCTAACAGGTGCATTTCATTCTTCTACGCACATGTTCAAACCACCACAATCGAGACTCCTGCATATCATCTTCTAAAGGTGTTACTCTCACCTTTTGTTTGATTATCTCATTTCTCAACAGATCTTTTCTATCGTGTCCACACATACCATCTCTACCACGCTCAACCATTAATATTACTGCCAACCTCCACCACCAATGCCACCGACTGGCGGCGGCGCCACTGCACTCCGCCGTCATCGCCCACTAGCAGTGCCACTGCTTTCCGCCGCCGCCGGTGGTGTCAAGCTCCAGCATCTCCGGCGACGACCTCCTCCATCGATCTCCTTCTGCAATAACCTCTTCCATCGATCTCCTCCCACGGCAACCTCCTTCGTTGATCTCCTCAACCGACGACCTTTTCCTCCCCCAATCTTCTCCTCCAACAAGACCGCTGTCGTGCCGCGGTGTCTTTAGGCACCACCGTTGCCTCCTCTGGTAGGATTGGTGGTGACCTCATGCTTGAAGAGACTTCAACAATAAGTGCCATCTTAGCACTCAAATGTCATCTTAAAGGTATTCATGTTATATTTAGGGTTGGCAATATCACCTGCACCCGCGGAACCCCGGTCAACCCGAACCGAAAATATGGACAAAAATCTGAAAAAGTATGGATGAAAATTGGGTGACTAGTGGATTGAAAGACGGGTTGTATCAGGTGTAGATGAACTCTCATCTAACCCATCACCCAACCCGTCACCCGCTCCATCCGCCCACTCGTTGACCAGCATATTAATATATGTGTGTGTGTTAATATCTATTTAATAATATATATAATACTACCTCCGTCTCAGGAACATTTGGACAAGATGAGGTGACATTGTTATTAAGAAAAGTGGGTTTACGCGGTTGATATTGAATGAATAAAGTAATAATGATTTAGAACCACACAACTCTATCAAATTTGGTATGAAACAATCTTAGTGTGATTTTCCGAAAAGGTGAAATGAGACCATTTTAGCGGGATGGAGGTGTTACGGACCTAGCCCATACTAGGCCTATACCAATGTCATATGCCCAGGTGTAGAACTCACTCCTACAAGACCAGCCGATTAGGAGGAGTGAACATCTTTCTTATAAGCAACCGGTCAAGCCCATACTTGACCGGTGTGGGATCGTTACATTACCCCACGCTTCGAAGAGCCAACGTCCTTGTTGGTCACGACTATGTTGGTCATGATTGGCACCCCCTAGGGCCCAAGCCACCACTCCATAGGCCACCACATCGAGCGTCAGGACCATGATCTACGCTCCAAATGCATAAACACACAGCAAGATATGAGTGCCACAAATGGATAACATATCATCATCATTTCATCATTTTCATTTACCCCAGTGCCGCAAAAGCTCCCACCTACGGTGGGGTAAGGGGGGGTCGGATGTACGCAGTCTTACCCCTGTACTAAAGCACAGAGAGACTGTTTCCGGATGACCCATAGTGAAAATCCCGTCCAAAATTGTATGGACTGACTGCTGCTTCATAAAAAAAAGCGCAGAAAGTTTAGTGAGCCATTTTGCTTTATTCCATCATAATCTATTAACATATCTATTAATATATTAATAGATATGTATTTATTATACGGACTACGAAGTAGCATATAAATATGACTTAAATACTACAAGAGCCTTAATTGTCATTATTTCTCTTTATAATTTATTTATTTTATGTCATTTCAAAATGTCATTTGAAATGTCATTATTTTTTGAATTAACATTTTCAGATTAAAAAAACTATGAAAAATTAGGTCATTTTTTTATAAATCAAATAAATTGAAATAATAAAAAAACAGATCCAAAACTTTCAGATAATCCTAGTTGTTGGAGCCTCTCATTTTCAAATCCAAAAATTTCATATCTAAAAGATCAAATTTCATTTTGAATCTCAAAATTAAACAAATAAAATCAACAAAATATACCAAAAAAATAAGAGATGAAAACCGAGGAGCGCAAATACAAGGAGGATGGGGAGGAGGGGGAGGAGGAGGAGGAGGAGGAGGAGGAGGAGAATCTTACCTACGACGACCGTTGTGCGCCGTCGGCTGGTGGCTTAAGCTGGGGAGAATAAATGGGGGTCCAGACTCCATTCGAGAGGAAGCATGCGAGAACAGAGAGGGGAGAGGGGAGGGGAGGGGGGGAAAGAGGAGAGAGAGGAGAGGGGAGAAAAGGGGGTCTGAGGGGGCTACGGAGAAAATATATAGGGGTAAGAGTAGGATTAAAATTGAAACTCCTATTTTGGGAATAAAAAACATAGGGTTATATTTTTGAACTACTATGTTTTACTCCTATCTAGGACAATTACTTTCAAGTTAAACAAAGAATGAGATTTCAATTTATTTTCATGTTGAAATATAATGAGCATAAGAGGCAATTCAAAATCACCCTTGTCAATTCTCTAGTGAATAGCTCCGAAACTTCAATCGTCATACTTGTAGGAATTACGTAGGGATCATCCCACTGCAATACAAAAAAAAGTATCTTAGGCGCTAACGATTAGGAAAAATATTATGTCATTTATTTAAACATAATTAAGAAAAAGAAATGAAAAAACAAAAGTTGCTATGTTGAAGAGTAAAAAGTGCTAGAAAGCATACAAAATACCTTATATTTTATTGTCACACCATCAGGATCATCTGGTCGATCTGCCAACCCTGTTTTCGATGTCAAAGCTGTAAGCCCTAACCGAGAGTTCCAGGGACTTATCACCATTTCTCGAGCAATCTGATATCATCAATTGTTTGGATTTGGTAAATCAAGTGCATCGACAAACAAATGAAGCATCCCACCTTCCTCACAATTCCCACCTAATCCCTTCTACTTGAAATACATGTGATCAACCTACTCCTTGCAAGGAGCATTTTACTAGAAATAGTGTTGTCATATAGATGCCATAGCACATGGCGGTAAGGCACCATGTTGGGGATTTTGGGTTGTCTGATTAACTGTTCTTTTGTTACCTAGCTGCCAACCCATCTAATGACCCCTTTTCATGGTCTTTTTAACTAAACCATAAAAGCAAACATATCCCTCCTCAGCTTGTTATTCACTTGAAAGTTAAAGCTTATTCATATTTTATTTAATCGTAAAATTTAAGAAGAAAACCCTCTTCCCTGCGATCGTTTGTTCCTCATCTACTCTTGTGGTCTCGTCTCATCTCTGCTTCTACTTGTGCACATGTATTCAGCGCATCGGATGTTCACTAAGATTCTGAACCCATCCTCCATCGCCTGCCCTCCGCTGTAAGCCCTGCCTCTTTTTGAATCTAACTCTTATATTATTTGGGTTATTTTGACCTCTTGGAGCAAATTGGCAGTTCAAATTGGTGCTTCTATTCTATTGTGTTGGGATTGAAGAAAAATACTAGAAGCTGTTATAATTAAAACTCGGCATCTGCTTTGGCTTTTATATTTAGTTTATTAAAACTTCTGTTTAAGAAAAAAATTTAATTCTGGTGATTTACCAGTTTTGTGCAATGATTCTAAGTTTAGTTCTGAGTTTCTAACTGTTTTAATGTTACTAGAATCAATTATATTACTTTACTGCTTACATCTAGTATGGTATTTAAATATCATTATATATATGTAATGTATTTTACATGTGTACAGGGGTAAGGCTGTGTACATCCGCCCCCCCCCCCCCCCCCTTACCCCACAGTATGTGGGAGCCTTTGAGGCACTGGGGTGATGATGATGATGATGATTTTACATTTTTACCTAAGGCGCAATGCTTCCTCTATTTAATGCAACGTTATATACATATATAGCGGCTTTTTGACTTTCCGCCATAACCACTATCCACTATTGATAACATTGTTTACAAAGAACTTTAGTTAACAGTAATACATATATAATCTGCTTGATTGTTAATTACAGTAGGGTATACCTTTGTCATCTTTTCTAAATCGTCTCTTCCTCCGTCAGTAATATCATCACCAAACACAATACGTTCAGCACAGCGCCCACCGTGAGCTACTACCATTTGCATTTTCATGTAGCCGAAGGTCGTGTAACCTTTACCAACCATTTCCTCTCTAGGGTAAAATACAGATATCGCGGTTTCCTGAGTAATCATGTAAAAAAAAGCAGTCACTAAGTTTGACCAAAATGAGAGCATATATGAACGTGATGGTAATAAGATGACCTGAAAGCATACCTTCCCGCCAGGTAGTAGCTGAGAAAATGCATGCCAATCAAATCTAGGGAACAAGTGTGCCAGCACTATGTGACCAGCTTCATGTACTGCAAGCAATCTTTTCTTTTCAGAAGAGGTCTGTGACAGCAAACAATTTGGAGGGGGGGGGAAGGAGTTTGATTAGAAGCCTATCAGAAAGTGCGGATCTCAGACTAGAGTCTAGGGAAGAAATCAGCAAGCAATGAAGGTAGATCTTTTATAAAGCAAGCAAAGAGAAGAGGCTAGAAAGATAGTAAAGCGTGTCTCCAACATGATTTTCATTACACCACCAGCCCATTGAACTCTCCAGTTTCAATGGGAAAGACCCAATTGGGTGGGTTGTAGAGGCTGAGCAAACTGATGATAGTTGTTGGACGCATGAAAGGTAGGGCGCTACAGTGGCTCAGTGGACTCGAACACCAACAACATTCATCAACTGAACAAATTTTAAAATGGAGCTCTGGGACAAATTCAACAGAAATGTATGAGCAGCACTAACTGAAAAGCTAGCAGTTAGTCACCAAATGAGCATGAAAGAACCATAAAATAACCCAATATTTTAAAACCTATCACAAGTCCAACAAACGAAACTAAGGTTGCTATGAAAAACCAAGTTATACCCCAACAAACCTCACAAATTGATCAACCTGAAGACTTCATCAAGTGGACAAAACTTTAAAAAGGATCTATGGGACAAATTCAGCAGAAATGTATGAGCAGCATTAACTGAACGGCTAATAGTCAACAAAATGGGCACAAAAGAACCTTAAAAAGAACCCACTATTACAAAACCTATCACAGGCCCAATGAAACTACAAAAGAACTAGGGTTGCTATGACAAACCAAGTTATAAACCAACTAACCTCACAAATCTATCAACCAGAAGACAGCCCACACCCCGTGTCTAATGTCACCACCACTTCTTGGCCTATCACTTTGGCTGCCAGAGATGGTGATAAAAAAGGAACCTAGCCTCTCCAGATCACAAATATGCTGGGATCTGGATATCCTACTGAGCCACTGTCCTCACTGAAAAAGATAATGCCATGAAGCTTGAAAAAAGAATAAAGGCACATCGGTGCCCCCGCGAGGTGAGAGTCCGGGGAAGGGTCCCACCACATTGGACTCTTGTCAATTTTTGACAAGATGGCACTCCCAAGACTTGAATCCATCCCCCTCGGTTAAACAAGAGCCCCTTAATTGGTGCACCAAGGCCTTCAAGCTTGAAAAAGGAATGGAACAGAAAAACAAATCCAACAGATATAAGGAAATAGAGAGAAGGAAAAAGAGTAAGAAAATAAGAGCAAAGATGGAAAAAGGAGAAGAATTAAAATGAAAAAGTCACAAGTTCGCGGGGTAGCGAAAATACATAAGGCCGTGTTCAGATCAAAATAGGGACATCCCAAAACCCGGAGATGAACACAGTGTGAGGTTCAAAACGCCCAAGGTAAAAAAGATAAACAGAGGCAACCCACTTCAAAATTTATGGTAGGGATAAGAGCACACAGGTTGCACTCTTGAACTTACAGCCTGGATTCATAGGAAACTACCAATTATAAGGAAAATAACAATTATAAGGAAAACATGTATCCACGAAGAAAACATAATATTTGAACCTGCCATCAGATTAAGCGAGGGGCAGGACCCAAACATATGTATATATCCAGCCTCAAGGACAAGGCTGTTTGCTGGTGTGCGGAAATGGTAACAATCAATATGGAAGGAAAGGAAAACAAGGAAACCTATTAGAAGCCTAGCAGAGAGAAAGAGTGGATCTTAAATTACTTTAGGTAACCAATCAACAACGAAGGTGGATCTTTATTAGTGTAAAATCAGGAATGACTGTAGCATCTGATTGATATGAAATGTATTTCATATCTTTACTGTAGGCTGCACTAGTCATCTTGACTAAAAATGAACTCTCTCTTAGAGGAAGTAGGCATTAGCTTTTGGATATTTTCACCTCTGCTGAGAAGGGCAAGAACAACTTGCTGTTGAGTTCCTTAAGGGCCTGTGGAGTAGTCCTCTGAAGCTATTTAATTTTCTTTTGAGTTATTTCTATTTAATACATTCACTGTTTGTTTAGAAGCAATGGGGGAGGATTCATACATCTTGCTCACACTTTTGTTGTTCTTCCTCTGTTAGAAGCACACCCATGCCTTCAAGCAACTGCTTATCCAACACATCCATGATGTCCTGCTGGTGGATGCTAGAGTGCCCTTTCCGTATCTGCATGTATAACCAACCTGCTTAAGTATATCGAAAATAATAAGCCACTCTCCACATATGCCACAGTGACAATTTCTTTGCTGACTTTGGGATATGTGACTATGCAAGTCAGTTATCATCATAATGATCACTCGAGTCCCAACTATGTAGGGGTGGGTAACTAAAAAATTATTTTAGGGGAGGTGACACATAGCTAGCCCGTTTGGTAATACATAAATCGGCTGTATTGGCTGATTCTGCTGAAATTTATGAAGTTCTAGCTGAAGTGGCTGATTCTTCTGATTTATAAAAATATTATATTTAAAGTATAGTTTATTAATAAAATAAAGAAAAAATTATATGAAAAAGAAGCTAAAATGATCTTACTAGAAAAGTAATTATAACCATACTCTTTCTTATTCTTACACAATTTAGCGCGCGAAATTAAAAGTTACGTGTTTGGTGAAAAAGTTGAATGATAAGCCTGATAAGCCGAAAAACAGAATCACCAAATGGGCTCAATATATAATGTCAACTGATTGTCTAAAGTCATTTACACAATTAATACATGCAAAAAGCATAGTGGCAACGTTTAACAGTGCATTCCCTTGATCCCTTTTTGTCTTACCCTCCTTGCAACGGAATAACGGGATGAAATTCCAAAACCATCTCAATCGTACGTTTATACACTTGCATTGAATGTATCATGAGACTCGATAATTGAGTGATGATGATGATGATGATGATGAGTAAACAACGATCATTAGCACATCAGAGTTCATACCATTGGTTACTAAACCTGCTCAACTAATACGGGTCTCTAGAGCCTTTAAATTTGCACAGACCCATTAAGAAGTAAAGCACTATCATAAGAGCTAGTGACAAAAATGCATTTTATTTCAACTTTCCAGTTTTGCGTTTTTACAGTTGTGTTCCCTCTACAGAAAGAATGAAGCAAAAATGAAAAACAAAGTTCAGAAATGGAAAAAAACATCAACTTACAGACATTATTCCAGCTTCATTAACTAGGTTTCTTAAGTCTGCTCCAGAATACCCAACAGTACGAAACACAAGCTGCGAGATGGTGTAAAAAGCACAAATGGAATAAATGATGGAACCTTGAACTCTATATAAAGCACCGTATTTTAGGGGGGTCATAAAGAAATGAAGAAAAACAAGTGTTTATTTTCTCAAAGAAGTGACAATAGAAGCCCCTTACCGGGTTATTAAAACATCAAACCAAGTAAGTAAAATAACACGAATAACAGCAATAAAATACAAGGAATTTACTTTCTCAAAGTCAACATCATCAGCAAGCTGTTTCCCATCACTGTGCACACCAAAAATTTGAAGGCGTTGCTTAGCATCAGGCAAACCTATATAGACATGCCTGTCTATCCGTCCACGCCGAACAAACTCTAGGTCCAGTTCATCTGGTCTGTTAGTAGCACAGATGAAAATTACAGCTTGTTTGAGGGAGAACCTATCAACGCCAGTTTTCTCTTCCCTGCAAATCAAACAAAAATACATAATATATTTTGTAACCCAAACAGTATACAACCGAATTGTATGAGCTTAAAAACTACTCCGTCAGTCCCTTAAAACATTGACAAGTTTAACCAACATGTGGAAAAATAAAGTAAAAACTGTGTGGTTGTTGATTGTGAAAAAGACTGATAAATAATAGGAAACGAAAATTAATTGATTAAAAGGGAAAGTCGAAAAGTTTTTGGGACAACCAAAAAAGAAAAGGTGAGAAAATTATAAGGGACGGAGGGAGTATCATTTGAAAAAAATTGGTTGTGCCCTAAAACTTTCAGGATAGAATTCTTTTCCTTTTTTAAAAGAAATAAAGAAATTGTGACATACTAAATAGATGAACCAAAATATAAGAGACTAACTCTCCATCAAGCTGGGAAATCAAAGCCTCGAAAGTTTCACTTCTTCGTGGATCTTTTCTTGCATGCCTTCCAGCTATAGCATCAATCTCATCGATGAACACAAAGGCAGGGGCCTACACAAAGGACACTTAAATACAAACCTCTAGGTAAAATTAACACAAAATAGCAAAAAGAAACTAATTTTAAATCTGCGTGGCACCACTTTTGTAAAAATACTACTAACACAAGCAATATAGACATATAGTTAAAGTTTGAATACTTACATTTCTCCTAGCAACAGAAAAAAGTTGATTAATCTGTGTGGCACCACTTTTTTCACTATCTGTAAACTCTGCACCAGAAGCAAAAACAAATGGCATACCACTTTCTTTTGCCAGCGTCCGGGCAAAAAGTGTTTTACCCGTCCCAGGAGGTCCAGAAAGGAGAACACCCTACCACTCACATAACAGATAGTACCACTAATTCAATACTTGAGGTCAATACTAGAAGAAAATAAATGAAAGCATGAGGCAATCACAATGATTAGATATATTTTGTGTTTACCCTAACAAACTTGACTTCCTTCTCATAAAATTGCATAGGGTTTCTCATGTAAATCATCAACTCGTCCAAAAGATCCCAAACATCTCCTCCCAACACTACTTCATTATACACTGATTTTGTTTCTCCAATTTCTCTCATAGGCTGACAAGGTAAAGAAATACAGTACAGAAATGTCTCAGGGAAGTAATAGGGGAAGTAAAACATGAGATATGAAAGATACCAGAGTAAAATTTTCAGCATAAGCCAAGTCAATAAGATGATTATATCTTTTATGGAGGAGACGGTTTGTAGTAATGCATAGCAGAGTCACAGTTTCCCTAATGAACCATAAAATCAGTATTCCAGGCAGTAGAGCAGCTAGCGCTTTCAGAAAGTAATGGATCCGCCTTTTCTGTAGAAGATCCACTTCAGCCTCAGAACTAGTTATCATCTCGAACAAGAAAGGATCTAATGGAATATCAACCTACAAGAAGCAATGTGAAAGAGTGAATAAAACCCCCAATTAAGTACGATATGCATTTTAGTTTTTGAGAAAGATAGATATTTGCTCACAATGTATTCTAGAGGGAACCCTTCTTTCATTGTTGTGTATATTCTCTTCAAATCCTCCGTGAATACAATGGAAGCAACCTAACAACTTCCAATCCGTTAGAAGTTTAGAGCTTCGTTCCTTTATTAATGTAGTGAAACATATTAATCAGGTTCCATGAGCAGAATCAGAGGGCAGGACCCCCATATAAGGACTCGTCTTTATTATCACCCTTTAACATTGGGAATGGTTGTCCATAAAATATTAGAAGTCTCTGATGACAAATAACACCTTATGGGACTTGCACTTATAATTTAAACAAGTTGATTTTGGTAAATATATACCTTACGACAGTTGAACTTATAAATTAAACCAATAAATCTATATTTTGGAAAATATGCAACCCCATGTGTGTGCGTGAGTTGATCTCTGGGGCATCATAATAAATAAAATATGTGTAGTGAGAAGCAGTGACCGGAGAAGAAAAATATTACCTCGGATGAATCAAGTTTTTGAGTAAAATATAGATATGGAAGTTTAGGCCGATAGTGCCACCATCTTTTTGATATCCACATTGCCCTTATTCCTTGAGTTTCACTTTTTTTCTCAGCCAAGTCCCTGCGAAGGCTATTCTCAACTTCCTTTATGTCAAATTCAACCGCATACCTAGCATTTAATGAGCTTAATTGTTCGCCCAACTTCTCCTTCCCAAGAATGTCATTCCATACTTGAAGTCTTTTACGCCAATTTCCAACACTCCCTTGAGATTCATCTGCTAGACAAACATCCATAGAAAGACTTCAATGGACAACAGATTCTGCCATATTCTAGCCCCAATCAAACAGCACCCCCATCCAAAGAAAATAAACAATGCATTAGATATACAACAACAACATTACCCTAGTGCCGCAAAGGCTCCCACCTACGGTGAGGTAGGGGGTCAGACGTACGCAGCCTTAACCTATACTAAGAGACTGTTTACGGATGACCCATGATAAAAATCGCGTCAAAATTGCATGGACTGACTGTTGCTTCAACAGTTTAGTGAGTCTTTGGCTCCATTGGAAATGATGGAGTAAAAAAACTAGTTTTATGTTTACACGAGCCTAAAGTTTAAGAAAGCGGAAGTATCAGAAATGTCCATTGCATATCAAAATACCTGATATTCTTGAATCTTCTTTTATAGACTTGTTAGCTTCTCGGTTCATTTCCACATCACCAACTATAATTTCTTTGATATTGTCTCCAGGGCCATCAAGATCATCCTCCCATGCATGCTGCCCAACATATGAGCTGTCACCAATTAAACCTCCATCTGATCCTTCAATGAATTTTTTAAACTTTAGACCTTTTGGGACACTCTTTCTCCATAAACCTTTGTTAAATCTATATGAAAAAAAAAGGAAAAGGCTCAGAAAGTACAGTAATTAAAAACAAGCAACTCAGCAACTGAAGTAAAGGTTGATTCCATGATGGCAAAACCACACTTTGCTTTTCAGTTTCAGTAATTCATATGTGACAACGTCAACTTCTTGTAAAAACGGGGGATTATCTAGATTATGACAATAAAACTCTGCCATGACACAGGGCCGGCCATAAGGGGTAGGCACCTAGGCAGTGGCCTAGGGCACCACTCCCAAGGGGGGCATCATTCTCCTGTCCAACAGGTTTTGGTCCGAACGCCGTCTGAACAACGCCTTTCGGGGTGGTCTCCGGTGGAATTTTTTGACGAAACTTTTATGGTATGTTCTTCATCAAGTCTAGTTTATCCACAAACAATTTCAGCTCAAAATTCGATCGGGAAGGCCGTCAAATAATTTTTGGAAATTAACTGCACAAAATTTAACATAGAAAAACGCAGTCAACTTCCAAAAATTATTTGACGGCTTTCCGGATCGAGTTTTGAGCTGAATTTTTGTGTGAATAAACTACACTTGATTCATAACATACCATAAAAATTTCATCGAAAAATTCCACCGGGAACCGCCCCGAACGGCGGTGTTCGGACGGCGCCTCAGGTCCGAACTTTCGGACCTGAGAATTTTCCTATATATATAGAATAAACTGGCCCAATAAGAATTACTGATCATGATGATTACCTCGTTGATAAAAAACGGAGTTTTAGTGACAAACACTAAACTCGGTGCTTGCAAATGGTGAAAAAAGTGTTATGTACTCTTGATTGTGGTGATGTACTTACAAATTTTGCACATCAAAAAGCAAGAAGAATATGTTATGAGGTAGTACTTTTATTATTTTATTTATTTCTTTGAAGAATTTATATTTTCACATACTTTACATCAATTTTAAATCAGGTATTTCTTTTTACATTTAGTAAAAATGATGTTATAATTTTGTAATTACTTCATATTTAATTATGTTATTAATTTGAAGTACAATTTGATATCATTAGTTATTTTTTGTAGCCCACAAGTTCCACTCTTTTGCATATACCTTCTCAGATTAGCAGGATTAGGCTCAGGAATTATGGCCTCCATATATTGCTCCGCCAACTCTCTTCTTTCTCTGACAATTACTGGAGCACGAATTGCCATATAGATTCTTTGACATGATAAAGCTGCGATGACAACATATAGTAGCGAAACAACAGCTCTTTTCGGTTCCCAGTTCTTAATATCCTGCAAATAAATAGATATTGCATTCCTGAAGGCATGTACAGTGTACACTACTTAAATCAATCGCAAAAGGCAAAAAAATCACCCTCCAAAGCTCCCATTTGTGCCACTCAATAAGCTTGGGGAGCATTTCGAACCTAATCCGATCTAGCTGCATTTGACCCTTCATGACCGACTCAAGAGCTCCGTTTACAAACTCAGAATCATCAAATCTCGTCTCTTTGTTCACACACTCACCCAATTTCTTGAGAAAATGTTGGAAACCGCGGTGAATGGACTGCGAAAGGTGAGGCCAAGAAGACCCTTGGGACCCATTTGAAGAGGACGAAGAAGATGCTAGAAATACGGGGGTCTTCCGGCGGGAAAGCGTGAAATTCCGTCTTCGTTTGAAAAGACAGAGGCTGTGGATGGTGATATTGGAGTAAGGTCGTTTTCTCAGTATAAGTTTGGTCGGAGATGAATCAAGTACGTTTGTGCAGCGACGGACATCCATGGAGATGTTTAGGGTCCCAGGATGGGGGGTCGCTATATCGCCGCCACTGCGGCGTTTTCAGATGCTGTGGTCGGAGGAGTTCACTATGGTTGGTTGATAAGGCAGTGTTTAACAGTGGTTCAACAGTGTTTAACAGAGAGGTATTTGGGGTTTAACACTGGTTTTTGAGGGAAAATGAAAATAGATCAAAGCAAGTATAGAGTATCACAAAATAGTTTCAAACTAGTACCCGTGCATACGCACTCGAAAATTAGTTTCAACTAGTATTAGTACTCGTTCATACGCACTAGAAAAGTAGGTTGTCCATATATGTTACTCATGATCTAAGCAAATACTAAATTAAATGAATTTTAAAAATAGTTATTACTACGAAATATCTGCATGAATAATGGAGAATAGTACTTAAAATCATTACATATGAGATACAAAAATTCTTTCGCTAACTTGTTAGTCTGCTTATCATCTTATCTTATACTTAAAAGTAATACATAAGAAAGAAAATTATCCCGTTCAATTATTAGTCTACTTATTATCTTCTTATACCTAAAAGCATTACATTTGAGATAGAAAATTATCTCGCTTAAATATTAGTCCGCTCATCTAATCTTATACTCCCTCCGTCCCATAAAGTTCCTCCCGGGTTGACTTGGATAGGAGTTTAAGAAATTGAGAATCAAGTAAAAAGGTATGCTCTTCCTGGGTAAGTGTTAGTCACATAAAACTTTTCAAAAAGGGAAATGGGAATTTTTTGGGGTATCCCAAAAGACAATTGCTAAGAATTTTAAGATACGGAGGGAGTACCTAAAAGTACAACATATGACAGAGAAAACACTCTCGCTCAATTATTAGTTCGTTTATCTTATCTTATACCTAAAAGAACTATATATGAGAAAGAAACTTCTCATGTTCATTTATTAGTACACTTATCTCATACCTAAAACTACTACATATGAGATAGAAAATTCTTCCGCTCAATTATTATTCCGCTTATCTTCATATTCTTCTTAAAAGCATTACATATGAGAGAGATAATTCTCCCGGTCAATTTTGAGTCTGTTTATTTTCTTATATCTAAAGTCACTACATATGAGAGAGATAATTATTTTACTCAATTATTAGTTAATATCTTCTTATACCTTAAATCAGTACATATGACTCAAATGGGAGAGAGAACTCTTTCGCTCACTAATTAGTCTGTTTATCTTATACTTCGTACTTAAAATTCGTACATATGAGAGCGAAAATTATTTCGCTCAGTTATTACTGAGCTTATCTAATCTTCTTGTATTACCTAAAAGACTACATAAGAGAGAGAAAAGCAACCGTTCAACTATTAGTCCACTTATCTTATATCTAAAAGCGCTATATATTAGAGAAAATTTTATTGTTGAGTCATTACTTCACTCATTTAATATCTAAAAGCAGTACACGTGGGAGAGAAATTTTTTCTGCTCAATTATTAATCTGTTTATCTTATCTTATACTCCCTCCGGTCCTAAATAAACTTCACACTTTCCTTTTTGGGTAGGTCCAAAATAAACTTCACACTTCTTCTCCCTTCCTTAATTGGCAAATTATCTACATCAAAACAGTGCAAAACAGTGCAAAACAGTGTCAAACAGTGTCACAACATTGTACTCTACAGTAAAGTCAAATTTATTTCCTTAATTTGTGTGAAGTCAAAGTGTGAAGTTTATTTAGGACCGGGAGAAGTATCTAAAAGTACTACACATGAGAGAGAACATTCTCTCGCTCACTAATTAGTCTGCTTATCGGATACTTAAAAATAATACTCATGAGGGAGAAAATTCTTCCGCTCAGTTATTAACTTATTACTCAGCTTATCTAATTGATGGAGTATATAGACTCGGACCCCCGGGTCTCACGACTATTGGGCCCGGACAGCGGCCCCCACACGCTTATCGGACGTCATTTATATCATTTGTATTATTGTAGAGATCATATATCATTTGTATGTACCAGATTAGCCTTTTATGTAGTTGGGCTTGTCGGGCCCATATTAGCGGCCCGACCCATTATTTCTCTATTTATACTCCTTTTGGAGCTTGTAAACCCTAACTTTCATTTTCTATATTCATACACATTACTATTCATTCATCTCCTTCCTCACATTATCTCAAATCTCTCCATTTGATTATAGTTTGGATACCCCTATAATCCATCAATAGTGCTTTCATTGAGAGATTGAACACAAATCAAGTTAGATCCTCCCAAAATCCAAAACAATTCACGGTAGTTTCTGAAAAATTCTGGAAATGTTCATCGCGAGTTTACAGATCTGTGAGTGATCGAAGAACACTTCTGATGGAGTATATGGCCCGGGAACCCCCGGCCCACAGACTCCTACTACTCCAGCGAAGGCCCAACAGGCCCAAAAGGCCCAACAGGCCCAAATCACAGCGCCCGGAGTACCAAGCAGTCCGCACAACGCACAGGGGTGCCTTCGGCCCCCTGGCCGAAGGCTTTAAATTCTCACAAAGCGGGTTTCTCAAGCAAACTAAGAAACTGGGAGAAAACGGCGAGAACAGTAGCCCTCGGCACTGTGGGCCCTCGGCACCAGGGGGTGCCATCGGGTGGAAGAGCCCTCGGCTACCGCTTTATAGCCGAAGGCTACTCACTCGACAAGATATCCGCCTCACATGCGTACAGATCACCGTACCCCGCACAGACGTCCCATCCAACAGCCGCATTAAATGCGGCCACATGCGGCTGCCAGCGCCAACCAGTTGAGGTGACCCCTCGGCCAATGGGCGCTTGACACGTGTCCCTGCCCGACATTTATTGCTACTATAAATAGCACCCCATTTCCCCATTTGTAACCACGCAAAATACATATCGAATATACACTCTCTCTCTTACTTGTTTGCTCTGACTTCTCTCTAAGTTATTTCCCGTAATAACCCTTCGGATATATACCCCCGGGTAGACCATCCATCATTTGGTGCTCTCGTTGAGAGCTTGAACAATCGAGTAAGAAACCCTCCCCCTCGACCAAACACAAACACTAGCCCTCTATCAAAATGGTGAGGACAACGCGTGCCAACTCAAAGAACGTAGAAGACAAGAACCTGGCCCTCGGCGACGTCAACGCCCCCGAAGCCTCTCACAGGGCTCCCGAGGGCGGTGTCCTCGCTGGGCTGGAACAGGCGGCTGTCGACCTACGCCTTCAGATCCAACAAAACGTCCCCGATGCCCGCCTCGGCATCGAGGCCAAGAAGAAAAACCGGAGCGATGACCAAGTCAGCCCTCCGGTTCTCACCATCGACGTACAATCGGCGCTCTCCGCCTTCATCCAAACGCTCACCCAGAACCCGGGTGCCTTCGGCACCCTGGCTCCAGCTCACCCACAGATCGGGGAAAATATCATACTTCCCCCTCTGCCACACCCCTTCGGAAATCCCACCCCTCGGGTGAGAAACGACGAAGGGGTGGTGGCCCAAGAAACATCCTCCCAGGAAGTTCAGTCCCGGGACCGCCACAATGACAACAGGGAGAGGCCCCGTACTTCCGCCCTCAACCGGCTCGGAGGAGGGCCAGACCGCCGAGGGGTCCAAGACCGCCTCGGGGGGAAAGCACTCCAAAGGCCCCAGGAAAGCGGGGGATCTGTTTCGAGGGCAGACGAGGAGCGTCCCCTTCGGGACAAAGGCAAGGCACCCCTTCATGCCAATGATGCTCGGCACCAAATCAACCAGGCCCACTCGACCCGGGTTCGTTCGCAGGGGGCGGAGACCCTCCCGAGGGACCCCCGGGACGAGATTATTGCGGCCCTCCAGCGCCGGCTTGACGAAATGGAGTCCAACAAAGCTCACGCCACCACCTCCACCCCTCACTCAGATCTCAAATACGAGGCCATGATGGCCAAAATGGAGGAGTTACAGAAGAAAGTGGCCGAGGGCTCCGGGGAACCCGTCATCCAGCTCCGGACTCGGACGCCATTTACCCCAAGGGTATTGGCGGCCCGGATCCCGGAGAAATACCGAGGGCAACACATACAGCCCTACAGCGGGAAAACGGACCCCCAGGAACATTACAGCAAGTACCAGAACAACATGATGATGGTGGGGGCGTCAGACGAATATTTGTGTCGTTGGTTCCTCTCCACCTTAGAGGGACCAGCATACGAATGGTTCAACAGGCTGCCCGAGGGCTGTATTGATTCATGGCAAGAACTCGCCCAGCGGTTCTTGACACAATTTGCCGGGAGGCGTCGCACAAGGAAGCACTTCTCCCACCTCTAACAATACGCCAGAAGAAGGATGAGACCCTTCGGGATTTCCTGGAGCGCTGGAGGACGGAGGCCGACAAGGTCGACGGTGCTGATGACGGGACCCTCCTGGCCCTCCTACAAACCGTCCTCCGCACCGGCAACTTTTCAAGGAGCCTCATCATTGAACCCCCCCCCCCCCCCCCCCCCCCGCGACTACATAAGGGCCTTGCAGCGGGGGGACCGATATGCTGAGGCCGAGGAGGTGGAGAAGTATCACCAGCATCCGGACCAGCAGCCCCCGAGGGCTGACAACAAGCACAACCGAGGGCCGGGGGCTCCTCCAAATCGCCCCAAGGCTTCGGGACCCTCCGATGACCGCCCTCGGCAAGGCCAAACCAAGCCCGGGGGAGGTTATAGGAGCAACCCTAAGACTTGGGCCCAGCCCATTCTCCTGGACCGCCCTCGGACCCCATTGACGCACCCCGTCAGCATCATCCTCGATTTTGCAGAGGAGAGGGGCCTCGTTGAGCACGATTCTCGCGCACCCCCGGAGGTACACGCTATCAACCCTCAGTTCCCCTACTGTCGCTTCCATCGACATCAGGGGCACAGGACCGATGACTGCCATCAACTGAAGACGGCCATCGAGAGATTAATACAAGCAGGGCACCTGTCCCAGTTTGTCCAAAGCCCTCGGCAGGAGGGACCTTCTCATCAGGGACCTCCCCGAGGGCACCATACGAAGGTAAGTGCCTGGGTGAATCCGAACACCATCCCCCTCGGCAAGAAGAGGGAGATCGGAAACTCGGAAGAAGAGGAGGAGGAGTACCCCCACTACCAGGAGAAGAAACGCCACATCCTCATGATCACCGGTGGCAATACAGGGGGCGATTCCACCAGCCAGCGGAAGAAGTGGGCACAATCGCTTTACGTAGGGGAAGTCACTCATATGCCCCC